TTTTTTTGCTGAGGAAGACTGGCCCTGGGCTAACATCCATGCCCATCTTCCTCTACTTTATATGGGACGCCGCCACAGCATGGCTTGACAAGCAGTGCATTGGTGCGCGCCCGGGATCCGAACTGGCGAACCCCAGGCTGCCACAGCAGAGCGTGCGCACTTAACCGCTTGTGCCACCGGGCCGGCCCCTACATGTGTACCCTTTTCCGTCTAGCGTCTTTCGCTCAGCATAATGTGTTGAGATTCATCTGTGTTGTGGCGTGTAGCAGTACTCTGTCCTCTCATTGCTGAGTTGTATTCCACTGTATGGATACACCACAATTTGTTTATCCATTCACTTATTTATGGACACCTGGGCTGTTTCCAGTTTTTGACTATTATTAAGAAATGCTACGGGGCCAGCCCTGTGGCTTAGTGGTTAAGTGCTTGAGCTCTGGTACTAGCGGCCTAGGTTCAGATCCTGGGCGCGCACCGATGCACCGCTTCTCCGGCCATGTTGAGGCCGTGTCCCACATACAGCAACTAGAAGGAGGTGCAACTATGACATACAACTATCTACTGGGGCTTTGGGGAGAAAAAAGGAAAAAAAAAAAAAAGGAGGAGGATTGGCAATAGATGTTAGCTCAGGGCTGGTCTTCCTCAGCAAAAAAAAAAGGAAATGCTATGAATGTTTTATACAAGACTTTTAATGGGCATGTTTTTACTTCCCCTTGGATATAAATACGTAGGAGAGAAATTGCTGGGTCATAATGTAGATGCATATTTAACGTTTTAAGTAACCTCCAAATGACACAGTTTTTCAAAGTGGTTGCGCCATGTTACTCTCACCAGCAATGTATAAGAGTTCTGGTTACTCAGTACATGAATTTTTAATTTTAAAAGATGATGTAAAATGACCTCCCAAACTGCTGTATGTATAGTTTGTGAGAGGATCTATTATCCTATACCCTAAGTAACGTTTAGTATCATCATTTTAAAATTTTGTTTATCTGAAAGGTGAAAATGATGCCTCATTATAATTTGCATTTTTTCTTCTTACCAATGAAGTTAAGCATTTTTCAAATATTTATTGGCCATTTTAATTTTTTTTTCTGTGAGTTACCTGTTCATAGCTTTGCCAATTTTTCTATTGAGTTGTTTATGCTTTTCTTATAGATTTATAGGAATGCTTCTAATTCTGTCTCTGTTTTATATGTTAAAAATATTGTCTCCTCATCTTTACTGCTTGTATTTTGACTTTTTAAATAACTGCCTTTTGTCATATAGAAGTTTTTAATTTTGATGCAGCAAACTTTATCAACTTGTTTTTTACAGTTTTTGCATTCTGTGCTTAAGAAGGTCTTTGCATCCAAGGGTCATGAATATTTTGTCCTATATATTATTCAAATAATTTAATATTTATTTTTATATTTAGGTAATGAACACATCTGGAATTTATTTTTGTGGATGGAATAAGATGGAGAGCCAAAATTCCTATTCCATTTACTGAATGGTTAATTTCTTTCTGGCACTTTCTTTAAATGCCCCCTTTATCCCATATTAGATTTTCATATAGACAAAATCTGCATCTGAACTTTATCCTGCTCCACTAAATTTGTATTCTTGTGCCAATATAGTCCTGTTCCATTCACTGTAGTTTTAGGACATGTGTCTGTATCTCGTAGGGAAAGCTCTCCTTTACTCTTCTCATTTTTCAAAGAGTCTTTTTCTGTTTGCCTATCTAAGCTTCCTTATATATTTCAGGATAAGCCTGTCAAGTTCCATAAAATAATAGGGAAAACTGGCTCTGAGTTATATGGGAATCTTCTGTACTACCTTCTCAAATTTTCTATAAAGTTAAAAGGATTCTAAAAAATAATGTCTATTAGAAAATGAAAAAAAAAAGAAAAAAAAACCACAGACCAGTTCTGGCTGGGATGGAGACAGTAAGAGGGTAGATGATGTGAGATGAATCTTGAAAGATGAGTAGGGGCTACATAATGCACTATTTCTTGGACACATCAAGATTTTTTTCTTTCTTTATCCTAAGGGCAACGGGAAACCAATAAAATATTTTATGCAAGGGGCAGACATACTCCACTTTGTGTTTCAGAGAGTTCTATCTGGCTGTAACTTGTAGAATGGATTTTGCATTCTAGAGTGAATGCAAGCAGCCCAGGTAACAGATACTGGTAGCTTGGACCAGGGGTGGTGGTGGTGTAGACAGATTCATGAGAAACACACGATGTAAAATTGATAGAACTTGATGATGAATTGATGTTCTTTTCATCTTCTTTCTTTTTTTCTCCTAATCAGAGTTGCCAAACATTTGTCTCTTTTATTGGTCTTTTCTGTGAGTCAGCTTTTGGTATTGCTGACCAACTCTACTGCTGCGTCTCATTCATGAATTCCACCTTTTTCTTTATTGAACTCCCTTACAGTCACAAGATATTACCTTTGGCTGATGGTCTATTCGGTAGGAAGTCTGCTGGAACTGGCGCACCTCTCTGATGATGTGTGATATCTAACGGAGAAACAACAAAGGCAAAGGAAGTACTTGCCTGTATTGCAGCACCTTCTCCCAGGGCCTCCCCGGAGGAGTCAGTTACCTCCTCCAGGGAGGCAGCTGGAGCCCTGCCCGACCATCCTCTATGCCCAAGGCTTTCTGGCCCCTGAATGAGCCACATGAAACACTAACAGCAAGAAGATACTGAACTCCCAATCAGGGAAACAGCTGGCACTGGGTGGCCTCGGGCGGCGGAGTGGCGAGCTCTGGGTGCTATGGTCCATGGGCTCCTCGCTTCTAACTTGGTGCTCAGAACCCAGCTGTCCAGCAAGAAGCCTTCAGCATCTGTCCATCACTGGTCAGTCTTAGGAAGTCACCCCGGAGGCTTATCCACCACCCATTTTGCCCAGACTGCAAGCTGAAATGAGCCTGCCAAAAATCTCCTCAATCAGCCAACATCAGGCATTAGACCCAGTGTCCACCACCTCTTCCACCTCGAGATTAAAAAGCAAACAGTGACTTTCTTGACTTAGCCTCTTCTCCATAAGCCACTGAAGTCACCGAAACAGGCTGATTATGAAATTATCACCTACCATTCTCATTTTGGAGAAATTGACAAGGCCTTCCTCAGTAAAGTTTGGTGTTCCTTCTTCAATAAACGCCAGGTCTGTCAGGTACATCCCCAGATAAGGAACAGCGGGGGGGTTACAACTGCAAGACCAAGAGGTACTGATCTCACGCCCATTCACACAAACGCTGACGTCCCTCCCCATTTAAACAGGGAGCAACTGTGCTGCTTCAACCCTGAAGAACGAAGTCTTTTAATTCCATTTTCAGAAGCACACTCATGATATGCACAGTTTCAAATGCATCTGACAATAGAATATAATACAAAATTATAGCCCATGCTTTCCCGTGTGTTTGAGACAATAGCACGTTCAAACAGGATGTCTTGTAGGCAAATACAAAACATTTGCCAGCAGTCCTTGTTTGCAGTACTTGTAAACTGGTGACACTTCTCTAAGGGGTAAAAACAGGCAGAAAACCCTCTGCTCTCACCTCAATAAAGTGCAAACATTCAGCCTTAAAGAACTGGATGGAAAAATCAATGTGCTTAGAGCTTGTAAAACTTGTTTTAGTTAGTATGTAACTGTTTTAGAAGATACAGACTTAATTAACATCACAACTGCACACCAAAGTGAGACTTTGTTTTTTTGGAAGGGGGATGCACTTGGAATTCTCAAAGAGCCCTGAGGCTGAGAACACGGCCTTTTGATCTGCAAGAACTGGAGTCGAAACCTAGCTTGACCCACTTTCTAAGGGATGCTGGGCGAACTCTCTGAACCAGTCTCCTCAACTGTAACATGGAGACAATAAAACTTATCTCTTTAGTTTGTTGTGAGGCTTAAATAAGACACATCAAGCATTTCACATGGAGTCTACCATTTGGTAAGTATTCAGTGACTAGTTCTTGTTCTATTGTGGTTGTTGTTACTGGGAGTCTTTCTCTCACTCACGGCATCACAGGACTAATGTTTTCCCAGAGTGAGTCAAATACATGTGGTAGATCATAAGAAAACCAGCTGCAGACAGATCTTCTTCTCTCTCTGTCAATCTCTCTCTCTCTCTCCCTTTCCCTGTGTGTGTGTTTATGTGTGTGTGTGTAGAAAGAAGGAATGATCCAGCAATAAAAGGCCAAAAATAAATAACAATAGCCAATAGCTACTGGAATATTTAAATAAAAAATCACAGTAAATCATTGTGTTTAGATTACAAAATACCAAATCAAGAAACATTTTATAGTAAAAGATAGTTTGATTGACTATGGTGATATTTTCTTCTTATTTGTAATACTCTGTATACCATGGGTATATCTGTAAGACACTTTCTGTATACACAATATTCTAAATGAAAAGGAAAATCAGAAAAATACCTAGGTGATGGAAGTTTTTTCCCATTTTTTTTTCAAAGCAAAGTAGGAGGTAGGCCATTATTTGTATACTATACAAATTATTTAAATATACTTTTGAGTTATGAATAATTTAACAATTAAGATAAACATACTTTTTAAGGGTTTCTCTGAGATTTTTAAATCTTCCTTCAGATGAAACAGTCTTCTGAAGTTTGTCCATTAGAGCTTTTGTCTAGAAAGAAACAAATAACTTAGTACGTCATGAAAACACTCTTATGGTCTGATAAGATGGGTGAGTTTCCTAAAGATGCTCAATTCTCTTCTACAGTAACATGTGCCAGACTTTTGTCATGTGATATGATTTTGTGTGACTTAATCTGACTTTCAAAGTATAGACGTGGGATATTAGGTTTAGATTAGATGTTAAACAAAAAAAAGAACATGTGGAGAAGAGAAAGTGATTACATATCATGTAGCCAAAAAGAGAAGAAAATGTATAGAAAAGAAAAATTGAAATGTATGGGAAACTTAGGGACTTAGAAAGACAAAAAGCACATGTTGAATGTGGAATCTTAAAGGAGAGGTCTCTTGTCAGGGAGTTTTCATGATGAATCTTTGTGAGTGTTGATTTCCAAATCCTCAAAGCACATATTTGATTGCTTGGCTATTAACCAACCAATATCCTCTACTCCAAATCCTTTCTTTTGTGATCATCTTCATCAATTTGTTAGAAAAGTATAACTCATATTTACCAAGAAGTAAAATTGTTGACATTGGTCTGCAGTTTCTTCCATGGACATGGGAGAACGGTGGGGTGGTCCTTGGGAATGATGACCTACTCCCAGTAATACCCACCCCCAGTTCTGGTTCTGAGGACTCTGGGAGAAGACAGCCAGCAAGGCTTGGGCAGGGGTAGAGGGTTGGAGGGATGAGATGGGGCCAGGAAGGCCTCCTGCCTGGCACAGGGCTGGCCTTGGCTCAAAGAAGCTGCAGAAATACCATCTTCCCTACAGCCACAGACCACATTTGGTGGGCTCCAGACTGCATACTCTACCAGGCCTTCTGGATGTCTCTCAGACTGGACTCAGATCTGGAGAGGAGACAGCTACAGAGCATATGGTGTTACCAAAAGTGTCTGAAGCTGGGCATATCTACAACCAAGTCCTACCTACCGTGACTAGACTAAGGCGCTGGGCCCTGAAGGATAATCCATCACCCATGCTAAAGCCACTTTGAGGGACCCATACATGTGACTGAAAAGGTATATTCCATTTATTGCCTCTACAGGTAGTACATTCAAAATTTGAAAAAAAAATTTCAATATTAGTCTTATCATCCCTATTGCATAGTCAATTCCATTATCCTAAACCTGCATCCTATCAAAGACATTCATACCACTTAAGTCAACTACAGGGAAAGCCTAATGTTTTCGTAAAGAGGATTTAAGAATCCCTTGGTGCCAACTTCAGAGGAAAAGAGAAACAGAGAAAGGAGAAGGAAAGAGAAGGCAGAGGAGTGACCTACTGACTTTGATGAAGTATGACAAGTGTGTGACAGGATAATATGCTCTTTATATCCACTGCCCAATGGCTGTGGCCACCACTGTGTTAGGGGGAGGCAAAACCTAGCCACAAAAAAGGTATCCACGTTCAGCTTCTCGATTCCAATATAGCTGTTTGAAGCCCATTTTAAAAACAGTATTCCAACACCCATTCATCATAAAATCGATCAAAAAACTAGGAAGAGAAGGTAACTTGCTCAATTTTATAAAGAGCACTTACAAAAACCTACAGCTAAGACCATCCTTTCACCAAAGGTGAAAGACTAAATGCTTTCCCCTCAAGATCGAGAACAAGGTAAGAATGTCCTTTCTTACCACTCTTATTCAATATAGTATTGGAAGTTTTAGCCAGAGCAATAAGGCAAGAAAAGGAAATAAAAGACATACAAATTGGAAAGAAAGAAGTAAGATTGTTCCTATTTGTAAGTGACATAATTGTCCATATAGAGAATCCCAAGGAATCTACAAAAAAGCTCCTAGAACTAATAATTGAGCTCACTGAGGTTGCAGATATAAGACCAACACACAAAAACCAACCACAGTTGTATATACTAACAGTGAACATGCGAAAACCAAAATTAAAACCACAATAACATTTAAAATTTCTGCAAAGAAAACTAAATACTTAGGCATAAATCTAACAAAATATATAGAAGACTCATACATGGAAAACTGCAAAATGATGATGAAAGCAAAGAAAACCTAAATAAATGGAGAGACATACTGTGTTTATGGGCTGGAAGACTCAACATAGTCAAGATGCCAATTGTCCCCAAACTGATTGGTTTAATGAAATTCTAATGAAAATCTCAATAAAGTCTTTTTAGACATAGTTTTTATTCTATATGGAAATTCATAGAACCTAGAGTAGCTAAAATAATTTTGAAATAGAAGAATAAAGTGGGAGGAATATAGAAAGAACTTTCAACTCAAAGGTAAAAAAACAAACAATCCAATTGAAAAATGAGCTGAAGATATGAGCAAACATTTCATTGAAGAGGATAGACATGGCAAACAAGCACATGAAAAGATGTTTAACATCATTAGCTATTAGGAAAAAGCAAATTAAAACCATGGTGAGATATCACAGTGGCTAAAATAAAAAATAGCAATAACCAGAAACGCTGGCAAGAATGTGTGAGAAACTCACTCACACATTGCTGACAGGACTGTAAAGTGGCACAGCCACTCTGGAAAAGAGTTTGCCAGTTTCTTATAAAACTAAACACACAATTACCACAAGACCCAGCAGTTGCACTCTTGGGCATTTATCCCAGAGAAATGAAAACTTACATTCACACAAAACCTGCACATGAATGTTCATAACATCCTTATTTGTAATAGCCAAAAACTGGAAACAACCCAGATGTCCTTCAAGGGGTGAATGGTTAAACAAAATGTGGTATATCTATACCATGGAGTACTACTCAGCAATAAAAAGGAATGAAAATGAAGTATTGAAACATGTAATGACTTGAGTGGATCTCAAGGGAATTATTTTGAGTAAAAAAATAAAGGCAATCTCAAAATGTCATATACTGTATGATTCCATTTACATAACATTTTTGAAATGACAACCTTATAGAAATGGAAAACAGATTAGTGGTTGCCAGGAGTTAAGTGGCTGTGGCTGTAAAAGGGTGGCATGAGGGATCCTCATAATAGAACTGTTCTGTCTCCTGACTGTGGTAGTGGTCACGAGTCAGTCCAGGTAATAAAAGTGCATAAAATTAAATACACACATACACACATGAGTACATGTCAAACTGGCAAAGTCTGAATAAGGTTGGTGGATGTTAATGTTAACTAATGTTAATTTCCTGGTAGTGATATCGTCTGTAGTTTGCAAGATGCTACTATTGGGAGACACTGGGTGTAGGGTGTATGGGGAATCTCTCTATTATTCCTTACAACTACATGTGAATCTACAATCATCTCAACATTAAAAGTTTTTCTTAAAGGGTATTTATAAAAGCTGTGGCTTTTATTTGCAAGGTCCAGGTTTGTTCACAGGAAAAGATTTGGTGAGTTCTAGGAGGCCAAATTTGGGCTCCTCAGAGCACTGCATTTTTACTAAGGAATGAGGAGGGTGGATGGAATTAAGGATATGACTTAGGCTTGGTTTCTTGCTACACAGCGAAGAGTTAAAAAGACTTGGAGCTAGACAAGAAGATAGAACAAAGTAAGAAGTAGTGTCTCTGAGAGGGGCTTAAATCCTCAGAGAGCAATAGAAACCAGATAGTTTTGAGGAAATGTCGGTAGAATATATGCTCTTCTTCCCGCCTGGAACCCGGAGGCGGGCACCCTGCAAATGTCCTTCACCAACTTTGGGTGGTCTCAACAAGGCAGGCATAGTGGTCTCTGGAGGAAGGTTAGGCAGAGAGGGCCTGGCATAGACCCTCCTAGCCTCTGGCACCAATGGGCCATGGAGAAGCCTGGAAAATTCCCCAAGGTCCTTTGAGAAGGCCAAGGTAGTTATCTACTAATGAAGAGTTAGCTTGCCCACCAGGGACTGCCAAGCGGCAGGGCAGCCTGCAACAGAGGTCAGACACACCCCACCTCAGAGGATCAGCAGAGCCAACGAGAGCTGAAGGGGAGGCGAGGTCAGCCAAGCTCCCTGGGTGAATGACTGTGTCCGTTCCTGGGAGGGATAGGTGACCACACGAACACCAGGCACAGGCAATTCACGGTGGCCTGCAGCCAATGACCAAGCAGCAAAAGGCAACAACAGGAGGCCAGTGGGTACACACAGCCTCCCACAAGCTAGAAGAGGACCCCCACCAACACCCACCAACACCCAGGAGGAAGGCCAGGAGACAGGGCAGGGGGAAAACTGTGACTTAATTTGAATCTTTAAATTATCTGAATGAAAATAATAGGCATGAACAAGCTGAGCCCAATTAAAAGAAAATCATATTTTTGCACATCTAAGTCATTATGCCAAAACTTTACATCAATGACAAAGAAAAAGGTGATGTTGAGGCCCTTTGTCCCTGGTTTTTAGCCCTAAGGCACCTGCATTCTTATTTTGGGGAGAAAGACTGGACCCACCGGACATCACGTGTTCACATGGAATCACTGTGCCCTCTCTAAGGAATTCGGGAAACAATCCTGACTGTGAACCACATTGTCTGAGGTTGTTCCCAAATATGTTATAATGAATGTTTTGGGTTGTATTTTCTTTTCTTAATTAACCGTTTAGAAATGCACATGAGTGGAATCAATTAAGTGGTAAGAACACAGTAATTACCCACATTGGCACCTTTCTTTGGCAACTGAGCTGCTCAGTTCAGTTAATTATTTCCTGATTAGAAACATGTATCTTGGCTCTGGTCTCCCAGCCTCTCCTCCTCTCGGCAGCGGGATGTGTCTGTCGCACGCTGACGCTCACCTGCTTGGACACCTTGGCCCAGGTTTTCTTCAGCCTGTAGATGGCACTCCTGTTCAGGGCCGAGGTGATCTCCAGCACGCCGTTGTAGTTGTGCAGGCATCGGCAGATGTCTGCCACCGCCACCCACTTCTCAACCGCGTTGGCTCGGGAGCTGACGTCGGCATAATTCATGATCTGCGAGGCCACCAGGTTACTCATCTGAGATGACAGAAAAGCCAAGAGAGGCGGCTCAGAGCCAATGCAAGCATTTAGGCAAAATACCTGAATTACCCGCAGAATCGTCAGGAAGGCAGGGTGCTGAGGGACGTGGAGATCACAGTCCATATTTAGACATCAACTTTCTGAGGAGACCAAAGTCTGTAATAATAAACTAACGAGCACCTGTTCATCCTCAGCATGAAGAGAGGGCTTGTTTGGAATCAGCTGGTTAGGGGAAGAGGTGACTTTGTTAACCAGTGATTTTGATGAAGGAGTTATTTCCAATGATTGTGGAGGAAATGGAATAGAACAAGCTAACCCCGGAGGAACGGCAAGCTTTGCAGATCGTGGGTTTCACTTCTTGGGGCCTCTTCACATGCTCCTTGGCCCCCAAGAATGTGGGAATATTCGCTCTAGGAAGCCTCACTTTACACAGAGAAAGAAAACACATTGACCCCTAATCAAACCAAACTCTAACCCGACCGACGCTCAAACCGGAAACACTTAGGTGCAGGAGAAGACAGGACATTTCTCCTTCTTATCTTGCTGAAATGTTTCCACCAGCAGTTAAAAGGACCTGCAGTTTCAAGGCTAAGCACTGTCACTCTATTAGTGAAAGCCACGAGAAAAAGAGGCAGATAAGAAGCTCAGCACTTAGAATATAGAAAGGAAGAGAGCAGAATACGATTGATTACTAACAAAGGGAATACGGGGTCCATAATCTTATATCCATACACTAAATCTGATGAGTACACCCATTCTTTGATAATTCCTTAAGTATTTTAGATCTCATGGTGCCTCAGACTTGTCACTGTGCATGTTCATTAAAGAAATTATTTTCTACTGAGCACCAAGTATGGACCAGACATTCTCTCATGTTCTGGGAACAGGAAAGACAAATCCATCAGCATCCCTGACCTTAAGGCACGGAGCCGAGTTAGGCGGGAAGGTGAGGGGAGGCAGTCACAGACAAGGAAAGGCACAGACAGTGAAAGGCAAAGCTAAGTCTGCACGGAGGGGTGTGAGAACACGGAGGCAGTATGGGGCGTCTCGTTAGCAGAGAGGGGGCTTGTGGAAAGAGGTCGTGCCTGTATTGAGTCCTAAAGGATGAGCAGAAGTTAGCCACTGCTTTCCATCCAAGTGGAAGAGGGCCTGCAAAGGGACGGAGGCGAAAGGCATGGTGTGCTGGAGGATCCAGCAGCTGTCTGAGGAGCATGAGGTGTCATGAGAGAGAGGATGAGAGGTGGGCAGGGCTCTCACAGGGCAGGTTGAGCAGCTGGGACCTTATCCTGAAGGTGAGGGGAAGCCACTGACAGAATTTCATCAAAGAAAGTCATATAATTAGATTTTCCTCTCAGAGAAGTTACTCCCACGACGCTGTGTGAGGAGTGGGTTGGAGGGCAGAGAGGTGGCAGGGGGGATGGTGAGTTAGGAGCTCCTGGACAAAAAGGATGACAGGCCAAATCAAGGTTACAGCAGTGGGAAAGGAGGAGAAAGAAGAACGTGAGATGTACGCAGATTGAGCTTCACTAATATAGTAGGGGGTGAGGTGGGGCGGGTAAGGGAGAAGCAGGAGCCAAAGACGACCTCTAGATTCCGTGCTTGGGTGAGTGCGCATTCAGTGAGGCCATCACCCAAGACTGAGAGCAGAGAGTAAGATGAAGACGCAGGCCTGGCAGGTTTGGGAGCTGCTGAGGATAAGTTCCATTTGCAACCTATTGAGGGCACAGGGCAAGTGGCTATCCAAATGGAGACACATGGGTCTGGAGCCTGGGACTAAACATCCGATTTGAGCGTCCATTATATCTCAAGTGTATACGACACAGGCACTAGAGGTTGACTTTCCACAGCAGGGGCTCTGCCCTCGGAGAGTGGCCTAGATGAGCCATGTGTCCTGTACTTTAGGCAGCAGTGGCATCGATGCTCACTATGTGGTAACATTCAGCATATACGTACTCCACAGGGACCCTGTGCAAACCACTGTCTTGGGAACGTACGCTGTTGATTTGTATTTTGATTTTGGATGACCTATTAATTTACCTACAGGGTTCCTGGTAGTCTTTTTTTTTTTTTTAATATTATCATTATTCCTTTTGCTATAGTTTAGCAGAACTGGAAAGGGAACCTTCCCTTTGCCTGGACAGACCTGAAGACCCTCCCACTTCTGCAGCTCCACCACAGGACTAAGACCATTAGAACAGAACCAATTAGAATTGGTGAGTATAAAAGCAACTCCACCTTACTGCAGAAGAAAGCAGGGCGGGGAGATGGACCAACAGCTGGTCACCGTTGCACATGGCCACAGCAACACTCTAATTATGCTTAGAGGTCCCCAACCCTGGAATGTGACCTGGGCTGAGTGTTCAGTAATGAGGAGGCATTGCACCAACCCAACCTTACCGTCACCGGCACCCCCAGGGGCCAGTGACACAGGTGCTGTTCATTCTGTTAGAACTAGTCAATCTATGACCACAAGGGAATGATGGTTATGACAAAAATAACAGCAGAAACCTGTGCATTATTGAGCACTTACCAGATTCATGCACTATAAAAAGTGAATCTCTTATGCCTGCAAGTTAACTGGAAGTGACTACATCACTGTGAGCCCTTAGAGAAGATTTAAGCTTGTTTTTAACATTCCATTAGTTCTAGTTAAAAAGTGGGTAGCAGACTTGCTTCACAGAGGAGGAGTCTTAAGCCCTTGATATTCATCTTCCTGTAACACACCCAAGGTGTTATTTTTATGGTTACTCACATCATTGAAGTGTTGGCTGGTTTTCATAATGTAAGGTGTTCTTTCATTTTTATCCAGCTTCATCCACCCCTGCCCAAGAAATTCTCTGAAAGTTCAAAATGAAATACAACACCAATTAAATTTTTTTTAATGGTGCCTATGACCCTGAATAATTATCATGACTATTATATATGTTAAACTAGACATTGCCCAACACCTCTCAAGTGAATTTCAGCTCAACTTGAGCATTTCACTTCTCGATGCCAAAAGATTCTTCAGTTTTCAGTTTTCTCTTATAAACATCTGGAACTTTGTCCCTGTTAGGATCATTATAAAGGCTTCTCTGATGCTGGAAAACAATGACCAACTCAAGAGGAATAAAGAGATTAAGCACTAACTCAGAAACCAAGACTATTTCCCTGGATCAGCTTAAAAAAATTTTAAGCCTTAGCAGAAGTTCCAAAAAATTCATCACTACCAGAAATGTAATTAAGAACAGCATGTTTTCCTCTGCTTTGCTCTGACATTCTCCAGGAGAACATCAATTTCTCGGACGGGAACTTGCCTTTGTTCCCCCAGAGCCGGGAACAGTACATGTGGTAAGGGCTGAAGAAACACACACACACTCCTGTTACCACTCTCAGCCCATTCCTCTGAAGATGGCAGTTACAGTGGTGGGAGCTCAGCCTGGTGGAAGGTCTGTCTTTCAAATAATATGCCTGCTCCTTCACTTCACTAATGAGCAGGTCACAGATCAAGGTAAGCAAGGGACAATCAAGATGGAGCTCTGGGGGGGCGGCCCAGTGGCGCAAGCGGTTAAGTGCGCGCGCTCCGCTGCGGCGGCCCGGGGTTCGCTGGTTCGGATCCCGGGCGCGCACCGATGCACTGCTTGGCAGCCATGCTGTGGCGGCGTCCCATATAAAGTGGAGGAAGATGGGCACAGATGTTAGCCCAGGGCCGTCTTCCTCAGCAAAAAAAAAAAAGAGGAGGATTGGCGGATGTTAGCACAGGGCTGATCTCCTCACAAAAAAAAAAAAAAAAAAGATGGAGCTCTGGGAATTATTTTGTAGAGGTGTTAAAAAAATAACTTGAAATGAAATTACTCTGACACATTCTTAATCCAGAAAGATTGACAGAGTCCCTGTGCAAGGTTCTTTGTCCCTCGATGTTGGTGGTACTGCTCCCATCCTGCAAGGCTGTTGGAGACAAAGGTGTGCCAGTTCCACGGATGAAAATGCCTGGTGGATGTTCACACCAGCACACAGGGCACAGGGAGGAGAGGTGGAGAGGGTCCCAGAAAGAGACCACATCAAGGGCACACACAAAGGTTTGGGCTTTGCTCTTTCTCCTCCTCCGTAGAGGTCACGTTCTTCTCCCTCCCAGATCCTCACTGTGCTGCAGGGTAATCAGGAGGTGGTGGCAGGGCAGCGGTGGAAGTGGGGGGACAGGAAAAAGGCACTGTGGTTCCTAACTCAAGTCTTCAAATAGACACAACCATTGCAGGCCTTTCGATCCACGGTTGGTTTAATCTGCAAACGTGGAACCCGCGGATACGGAGGACCAACTGTATTTCCATATCAGTATTTCCAACATAAACTGGAACCAAAACCGTCTTAGGGTTAAGACTCACACCTCTGTGCACACACATCTGCCTTAGGACTAATGTCAACTCTAAGTGGGCTGGCCCCGCCTGAGAGGGCCCTGCTCTTGGAGGGCAGCACTCACTCGTAGGGAATGCTTCTGAAAACGATGTGGTCCAGGAGGGTGATCTGCTCCGCCAGCTCCATGGCTGACAAGGTCTCAAAGCACTCAGCCTTCGGACAGTCCGTCTGCAAGAGATGAGGGCAGAGAATGAAACATACCTTGGAGCGAGGCTCCCATCAGCTCTCTGCAGCTGCTGAAGTGCAAAGGCCATCACGGAGTCCAGCTGTGAAAGCTCAGAAATATCAGCCACCATTAATATCATGGACCCACTGCTGAACCCCAAGCCGGATGTGTTCATCTCACAGAGCTTCCTCAACAGGACATCTCGTCAAGCACTCAGTTACCAGTTACAGGCGTTCAGCTTGCCCTTGAGAGGTAGTTTGCACATAATTGTGCTGGATAAGACTGTGGCTGAACTTACCAGTTGAATTATATCCTCTAATTTTAGGTGGATGTCATCTTGATCATCTTGTGAAAGGGCCCTAAAAAAAAAAAAAAATCAAAATAGCCTCGATGAAAAGAAAGCAGACATGGTAGGAATGAAATGACAAAATGCAGCTGGGTTTTCACTAGGTGGAAAGTTGGAGGGCTCAGTCTGCGAGGCTGTGCCGCCAGCTGGAGGCTGTGGAGACCTGAGCTGGACACAGGGGGTTGGGGAAACAGAAAAATACGTGAAAGACACTGGAGGCTTATCAAGAGAGCTGACTTGTAACAAGGAGCCAACTTGTTACATCCACGGTTGTGAATCAAACACGGACCATCAAAGGGAGACTAAGGGTGAACTGGTGGGCTCTGCGCTACCAAGAGGATCTACAGTTGAACTCGGACATCCTGTGAGTCAGGGATTCAAATAGGATGAGTGACGGGGGACCAGCCCGGTGGCGCAAGCGATTGGGGTGCACGCGCTCCGCTGCGGCGGCCTGGGGTTCGCTGGTTCGGATCCAGGCGCGCACCGACGCACTGCTTGTCAGGCCATGCTGTGGCAGGCGTCCCATATAAAGTGGAGGAAGGTGGGCGTGGATGTTAGCCCAGGGCCAGTCTTCCTCAGCAAAAAGAGGAGGATTGGCAGATGTTAGCTCAGGGCCGATCTTCCTCACACACACACACAAAAAACAAATAGGATGAGTGCCCCATCCACGCTCCTCTCGCTCCTAACTTGGCCCTTCCCAGCTGACGCTGAAGCAGCAGATGCAGAGCCACCCCCACCCTGCGCATAAGTAGACCGGAAGCTCACAGAAGCTCCTAGGTGGCAAGAATTTGAAAATTGTGAGGCAGAAGCCAGCACGTAAACCACCCCCCTTGCTTCCCTGATGGACTTGCCTGAGACACACGTGGTCCTGTATCCCCACCCACGGTGTTCTTCAGCTCTCAATAAATAGTTTTTTTGATAAGTGAGGAGTGAATGAATGAATAACACAGAAGTTAATTAACGCTGAAGTGGGTGCTGGTTTCCGAGTGGGAGCGATACTTCACGTCCCACAGAAGTTCAGAGTCCAGGAGAATTACACTGATTATATAACTTGCCATCTGGGCCAAGCTTTTTAAGTTTTCCCAAATGAAAGCACAATCACGTATTAAAAGTATTAAAATATCTGTACAGTCCTTAACCATGTAGCCTGTCTACTGGAGGAAGAAAGAAGTAGTTACCATATGGTAAAGGAGGGATTAAGGCAAAAAAAAAACAAACCCACGACTCTTTCCCCAAAGACTGTTAAATCACACCTAAGGATTACACACAGGGGATAAAGGTGACTCTTTCCCAAAGTGTGTGTCATTCTTTCCACTGTAGTCTAGGTTCCTGGAGAGAGGTCGGTGGCCACATAACTCTGTGTACCCGTGGAAAAGATCTTTTTTATGAGGCTGGGCAATATTCTTCCCTTGGAAAGAAATGGTCAAGAAGTTAGTTTGCTTCTCTCAAATGTTCCTCTCCTCAATGATTTTACCCAATGTTCCAAGACACATTCCGGTCCTGTTATCTAGCATTTTCTCTCTTCACAAGAGCCGTGTTGATGCTGCCTGGGGCTTTCTGATGTTTGGGGGTGGCCTTTTCATGACCTGACCTCATTCCAGTTGACCATCCAAGAAGTCAACCACTGTTTCTTTTCATTCTGTGGCATTAGTTTCCACAAAAGACTCTATGCAGCATAGATTCAGAAGCCACCTAGTTAGACAATGTTGGCGGGGTGGTATTTTAGAAATATAAAAGTCTTGAGCAGAGGGTTTTGTTCACAAACAGGGCAACAAACTACCTATGTCAGTTAAGCTTATTCATCACCAAGTAACTCTGTGCAACTGTGGAGGCAGGTTCATCATAGAAAGCTTTCCCTTTGCTGTATTAATGTAATATACGTTTAAATACATGTTTCACGTTTACATCTCACTGTTGTATGACTCGAATACATATAAATCTCTAATGTCAGGCTACATTTAACTACAATATGGTATGCTTTTATCTCTCACAGCAGTAACTTGTATTCACTGGGAGGAATGTTCAGAATGTTCCCCTTCCAATGTGAAGGCCCCTCCCTCTACCTCTGGTCCAGTTCCAATACAGGAAGGATTTCCTTCCCGTCTTCTGACTTAGAGCTTTGATGAACACTCCAGGGTCCTGGGTCTCCCCAACAACTATCAGTCAGTAGGATCAGTTTAATAACTGTGCATTTATAAAGAAACACCAGATAAACTTCAGAGGAAATGGGATTATCCAAGTTTTATGACTGGGAACTTCCTCCTTCAATTGTAGAAATCAGGCAGTCTTAAAAACAGAGCCAAGAGCAACCAGCCTCTGTCCTTGGCTTGGCCTATGCTCCCCGGGCTGCTTGCTCACCACTGCCCCTGGCTGGCTGGAGCCCGTGGCGTGGCCGGCCTCAGACCCTGCTCCTCCAACTCAGGGGACTTTGGGAATAGTTTAGTCTCCTGCTGCTTCACCTTCTGGGACCTGCCGGACCATCTCCTCCTTCCTACCCTTTCTCAAGGCTGGCTTTCCTTCCCTCCAGGCTCATCTGAACCCATTGCTACCTATGCTCTAGTACATTAAACAAAGGCAGATGTCCGTAAGTGCATGGAAACCTTTAACACTAAAGTCTCCTGGCCTTGCCTGGAAATAATTCACTGTTTGTTTCCAAATTAAGGAATGAACTAACAAGAAAATCTTTATAATTTTCAGAGTTGTTAAATAATCCTTTTGATTTCTGTTTCTTTCTTGTATACTCCATGATGTTTTTTTTCACAGAAGGATTTCATGAAGGATGGCATTCCTTCAGTTGAAGGTTACATCTAGGTCTTACTTCCTACTCTACTTTTTAGTCATTCTGATATGATTTTAAAACATTTAAATATATAAATTTCATACATATAAACATAAATATCTGATACGGCAAGTTATCAAAGACCCTAAGAATTTAACGTATCTTTTATTTCTCCTGAAATCACAATCTTATGTGACAGGGCAGGGACTCCTTACGCATAGCACAGGTGGAGTGAATTATTTGGCAAGGGAAATTCAATCAAGGATCAGGAGCTTTCTTGCATCTGGATTTTTTTGCACAAATCTATTTATTGGCTTGTTGGGAAGACAAGTTAGTGTCCCACAGACCCAGCTGACCCAAACTGGGACTCAGGGTCTGGCTGTCTGCTCCACTAATAGGCTGATGACTCCGCTGGTATCTGTCTGCTTCGGTTGATATGCTCAGGGCTAAACAAAGACTTTTGTTTTATTTTGGCTTCATGGGAAGAAAGATGGTCAGAGGTGGGAGAATGGATGGGGTATTGTAACATCTATTCTCTGCTTGGCTCCTTGGGTGGATTTTGAATTATAGTGAAAGGTGTGGAACAAGGAGCCAAAGGCACTGATTTCACAAGAGACTGAGACCCTGGCTGCACGAGGCTGCTCTGGGGCCCAGGCAGCACAGGGGTGGGGCAAGTGGCCTCCTTTTCAGCTTTTTGATCAGGAAAGGGTGGCTTCAGAAGACTGTCAGGCAGCATTCTCAATAGAAACAGAGGCATTCACAGTTGGCACTGACAGGGTCTCTCCCTCGAGTGGCCTGGGGGCCATGAACTTGAATACAGATGCTGAGGCGGTGATCAGGTTTGTTCCTGAGCACACATTTCTTGGGACTCTTAGAATACTTTGTGAAGACTTTGCAAGGGACTAGAATTTTGGGTGGGCAGCTAGGGACACTCCATCAATGAAATTGCTTTTTTGTTTTGTTTTTGACTTCCTTTTTCTTTTATAAAATAGCAGTAAGTGGGTCATGACTGTGGGGTTTTTTGGTAACAACTTTATTGAGATACAATTCACATACCAAATAATTCACCCATTTATACTGTACCTTTGAATGATTTTTTATTGTATTCACAGCCTTGTGCAGTGTTGAATTGGCTTTTAATGTATTCTATCTTTGTATAGACAAGGTGATGAAGCCTAAGGAAAGTTGAGTTGACTAAGATCCAGCCTGGTTTTCCTTGGGCCATATCGCCCGGACGGCAAAACTATTTTTCCCATGGGCTGCTGTCCGTGTTTTCTAATAATAACAACTGTGGCAGGAATATGAGTGCTAATTATGTTTCAGCATTGCGTTGATCTCTTTACACATATTATATCATGCAGTCTTCACAACAACCCAATGAGGAAGGTAGGATTATTAGCCCCATTTTATAAATGAAGAAGCTGAGGTTTAGATTGGTTAAGAAACTTGACCAAGTTTAAGAAGCTGTGAAGTGGCTGAGCCAAGATTTAAACCTGTGCCATCCTGCGAAGTTAGAGTCAGACTCTGCTGTATTATACTCCCAGGCTGTACCATCTACTAAAACGTCTATTCCTTATCCATCTCACACCTCTAATTTCGCAGGTCATTTATTCAACAAAGAGAATTTGCATGTCTTAAGCCTGATGAACAATAAAGACCTGGGATGGTGAATAGGAATCATCTTAAGTGCCAACTCAACAGTAGTGTCAGTCAACTGAGTTCTGTGCTTCTTGGCACAGGTGGAAAGCTCTCAGGATTGATGGGTCATGTCTGGCATGGGTGTTGTGAGGGGAAGGCAGCCTGAGGGCTCCACGTCCCCAATCCTGACAGTCTTTCCCGCATTTCCCTGACAGCTATGCAGTCAAATGTCTCTGGAAGCTCACACTTCTAGAATGTAGTTTTCAAATATCAGTGTTTTAAATACAAAGAGCATAATAAATTGTTTATGTGAGGAGAAAAGGAACAGTAATCACTCACAGACATAACCACGCATCCACTGAAACCAGGCTTTACCTGAAATATGTATTTACAATTTTAAAATCTGAAAATAAACATGGTAACAGAGTCCCTTGGCTTACTTAGCTGTTTCCATAGAAGGGAAAACGTGAAGAAGGCCCTTAACAGTTTCCTAGGGTGGCCTTAACAAAGTACTACAAACTAGGTGTCTTAAAACAACAGAAGTTGATTGTCTTAGAGTTCTGGAGCCTGGAAGTCCAAAATCAAGGTGTCAGCAGGGCTGTGCTCCCTGAAATCTGTCAAGAAATCCTTCCTTGCCTTCTCCCAGATTTTGGGGATTTGCCTGCAATTGCTGGCATTGCTTGGCTGCATAACTCCAATCTCTGCTGCCATCCTCACATGGCATTCTCTCTGCGTCTCTGTCTTCACACAGCCATCTTCTTATACAGACACCAGTCGTATTGGATTAGGGGGCCACCCTACTCCATATGACCTCATCTTAACCAATTACACCTGCAATGGTCTTTTTTCCAAATAAGGTCCCATTTTGAGTTACTGGGGACTAGAAATTCAACATACTTTTGTGTGGGGGGGAGGTGGGGGAGGGCAATTCAACCCATAAGAGCTCCTAAACCAAAGAAGGGGCTGGCTATGAGATCTTAAGCTAATGGGGCTAAGAATGACTTATGGGCCAGATGCTAAAACATTGCAGACCCAAATCTGGCATTGCTGAGTCAGGCAGGGACTTCCAAAAACATGGTGGACTGAACTAAAATGGACTCCTTTTCACACACAAGCATTCTAGATAAACAAGAAACAATATTGCCAAGCTCAGAAGAAAGAAAGGATTCTTTCCAGAGGTTGCAAATGAAGAGGGAACCAGAAGTCAGAATAGTAAAGGAGTAGCAGGCCCTAGCATGTAGATGCTGGGCTTCCCACCCCAAGCAGGGACCACCACGTGGCCATGAGTGAGGCAGAAAGCTGTAACTAAAACGTCTGCACAAAGCCCTGATGGCTGCCCTCCTCATAGGGAGGACTAGAAAAAATCCACCCTTCAGTTCAAAAAGCTATAAGATGCTGGGTGGACAGACACAAACAAGTCTCTAGTGGGAAACCCAAACTTTAAGCCTTTATCACATAGATGTGTGGGGTCCAAATTTATACAACCTACATGACGTGGAAATCCTAAGCTGAGAAGCTGACAGTAAAATTGGTCTAGGATCAGTGAAACAAGCCGAAGAGAACACACAGCTATTCTATGGTGGCACCTCCACAAGCCAGGGGCACCAGACTCCCACAGAAACACTACCACCCTACCCATAAACGTGACCTTACAATGAACGATTAGAACTCACGTGAGGAAAAACACATCTCTCTGCAGTGCCTGCTGGACGTGCAGGAGGGGACCCTCAAGGCTTCCACCCCTTCACTTTTGGTTCTCCAGCCAACCACTGTCTGCCCACACGAAGAGGAGTGACTGCACTTCACACAATGTCACCCAGTCCAAAGCCTTCCTGAGGCAGCAGACCCCAACGCCCCCCCAGGAAAGAGAAGACTTTACCAGGGAGACCAGAATCCCTGCTGCCCCCAGGAGTCTAAGATGTATCTCTCTGGTTGGCTAGGATCTTATTATCCTTGAACACAGCACAGATCACCCAATGTGCTTCAGAGACACCTGCCATTGCCTTTACCTCAGGATATTCGCTGTGGCTTTCCTTTCTTGGGGAAGGAGGTCTGGGTCTCGCAAAACTTCTTCTAGCAAATTTAGGACGTTCATCTTTAGTTCGTTGTTGAGTTCGAAATCCTATAAAATAAAATGGATCTTTTTAAATTTTAGTTTTGAAGGGTTTAGCTCCATGACACGCGACACCATTCCTCATGATAAATAGATACGTGCATCCCTCAGCCTGGAACACTGTGCCTCTACCCCACCTTTATTTCTATTCATCTTTCAGGTCTAGGAGGTCACATACTTTCTCCCACGAGCCTTCCTTAGTTGACCCGGTGGGGTAAAGAGCTTTGCCTTGGTACTCCCATGGCGCCCCCATCATAACCTACTCTGTTGTAAGGGCCAATTGAATTGTCCGGTTTCCCGCTGGACCGTGAGTGAGATCAGTAACTGAGGTAGAGCAATAGTTCTTTCAAAAAAAGATTTGTTGGAAGAACAAAATCTGATATTTGGGCAGAGACTTGAATGAAGAAGTTCAATACGGACACGCTCAAGGTTAAAGACTAAATGACACTCACACTGAAGGGGCTGTGCCCAACAAACAGAGGAGGGACATTGAAGGGGCACCCACTAGGCAAAGTCAGGACAATACGAGCACCAACATGAATAATGAGAGTAACAGGTAATAACCAACGGAATCAAAAGAACCTGCAAGTCCCTACTGATGCTCGCGAACAAACACATAAATAGATAAATACATACAGAGGGCGGAAGAGAAAACTACTTTTTATAGTGGAATTCCAACTAACAAATGCGAAGGAATACGAGAGTTAGAAAATCACCATTTTTGACCAAAGTAGTAACAACTGATTCAGGCAAGGATCATGAATGGATGCTAAAATGGCGGATGAAATCTAATGGGAAATAGAACTAACAGTGTCAGAGTAACTCCGCCCCCCCCAACCAGAGATTATTTATTAATTACAAAAGGAGAATCTGGCAGAAACCTCCTTAACCAAGTGATCACAATTACCAACAATGGAACCAACCAACACCATGCGCCTGCTAATGCAGTGCTCTGTGAAGAAGCATCTCTCACTTAGTATTTTGGCCCAAAATGCATAATTCCGATGTAATTGTGAGGAAGCACTGGCCTGTACTCTTCAAAAATGTTGATGTCATGAAAGGCAGAGAAAAACTGAGTAACTGTCCCAGTTTAAAGGACACGAAAGGGACCCCAACGAAATGCAACATGTGAACTTGGATTAGACCTGGGATCAAGGGGGAAATGCTATAAAGGGCATTAATAATGCACTTTCTAAAGGGACAACTGGCAAAAACTGAGTCAGGACTGTGTACCAGTTAAGAGCATTATATCAATGTTAAATTTTCCTGAATTTGATCATTTTACGGAGGCTCCGTAAGAGCAGGTCCTTGTTCTTCGATGGGGGCGGGGAGAGAGAACAAATATGGTAAACATGTTAATGATTAGTGATTCTAGATGTGTATCAGTGTACTTGCTTTATTCTAGCAATTTTTCTCTTGATTTGAAAATTTTCAAGGTAAAAAGTTGAAAAAAAGAACAAAAAGGTAGAGTTGTGGTTCTTGCATTCTCTTACTTAAACGCCTTCTTATAAAACCCCAGCGGGCAGCGTCCGGGACTGTCAGGTGTCCAGAGCTGAGCTGCACGCTGCCGAGCGCTGCTTTCAAGGATCTCATAGACTCTATCTTTACACGTGTGGCAGGAGTGTTTATTTTCCCTCCTATATGAAGTTACGTATTACAACTACATTTTAACTTTAAGGAAAGTAATTTTGAAGCACTGACATTCTAAATTCTTTTAAATGATTAGGGAGAACATTACTAATTGCAATGAATCCAACAAAAAGAAAACAGCATACTTTTACTATAGTTAGTAAATTAGGGGCAGAAAGGTCCATAATTTCACAAATTATAGACAATGCAAAAGTCTAACCTAATTTGAGTATTTTTGTTCCTCAGTTGGGTGGAGAACTGTGTAACAAATTTTCCTCAATATTTCACTTCCACTGTTTGACAATCAGCACGATTTCTTAGGGAACAGGAGTCACTGGCTCCGGGGGCTACACAGATGTTAATGTCTCTCATCAATCTTAGGCCTTCAGAGGAGATGTTTTCCTAAAATTTCACCTACTTACTGTCCAACAGCTTCTTGGCTATTGATTTTTCTTTTAAAATGTATACAAAGAGAAGAGAGTAAGACCTTGCTGCTGTGTTTTCCTTTGTTCCACTGCCTCCCCCATTTCAAGGTACAAGGAATGATGTCTGGAAATAGATAATGAGCTCACTACTTCAGCCTGTGTGCACTACCAAAGGGCTTCTCAGCCACCAGGAGTCTGTTTCCTTAATGAACATTTGATATTCATTAGTGAGACGACCAAGTCCTCCTGTAGCTACGTTGAGACTCTAATGATGCAAATAATCTGATTATTACAAATGGATTAGTGTGAAGCACATCAGGCTGGTGTTTGGACCTTGCTGAGGGCTAACTAGTGGTTTCATCAACAAGCATCATTGAGCATCTACTGTGCCCCATCCTGGGCTCAACAGTAGGAAGGCTTCTGAGACCCCTGGAAGGCAAGGTGTGTGAAAGGTTAAGGAAAACAGAATGCAATTTTATTATTCTGAGCTCTGGGAAGACTAGCCTGGGAGAGACCTTTGGAGACTTGGTGAAATCTGCCCCGACACAATTTGAAGCCAGATGCATGGTTACAGAGGAATATTCACTCTGCTGATGATGTAGCTAATAGACAGCAGATTCTCTACTGACGGCTGAGTATAAATGCAAGAATTCTCACTCATAATTTCCCCTTACATTTGCACAGGTTTTTACCATGTTCAAAGTGACCTCCTGTCTATGATTTCAGTTCTTCCTCAGCCGACCCAGCGGCAGATGAGTCAGGAACCATAAAGCTGTTTCACAGACCGGCCACTGAGGCTGAGGGATGTGGTCACACGGGCTGAGACGAGACGTGTAAGGAGGTGGCAGCACGGGGACCAGAACACAGGTCTTCCATCTGACTCTGGAAAGAGTCCTTTACACTTGCACTTCTCAAATGGTCCTGTGCCCAGGAATCGCCGCTGATTCTGCTGCAGCAGGTCTGGAATGGGGACGAGATTCTGCTATCCTGAGGAAGTCCTGGGTGAGCTGATCACACTTTGAGTAGCAAGACTTTGCCTTGTTTATTTATTTATTTTTTAATTCATGCAAAAAACAACTCCTCAAAAACTGACTAAAAAAATCTGAATCCTCCGATGTACCATCTAGAATGTAAAATTTTCTTCTTTACCAATGCATGTAAAATGTAGAATTGGCCATTCAAAAGTCCCTATTAAAAATAGAGTAGCTACCGCTCAATAAAAAGAAATTGGAAGCAGCTAAAAGGCACTTGCCCTATTTAAATCCAGAGATAGATTATTCATAATGAGTCTGACAATAATAAGACAGCCATTGTGTAATTATCTAGAATCTAATTTTGGCTGCATTTCCCCAAGCCCTGAAACGGGAAATGAGAATACTGGGTGGTCGAACACCGGCTCCTTCCCGAGGCAGCAATGCGGGCGCCCACAAGATGGCGCTGCTGAGTCGTCTGGCTACTGGGGAGTCGGCGTCGCCTTTCCCCTTGGACCTGGCCAGCCGAGTGCAGAGCCACCAGGGCCCTGAGCAAGGAAGCCGCCTGCTGGAGGTTCTCTCACAGCGCTTCACGCTCCAGATGAACGGACCTCGTGGCTCCAGGAGCCCCTGAGGCATTCACTGCAGTTATCACAGCAACAGCTTAAGTTCGTTTTTGTTTCCAATTTATGAAGCAAGGATGAGGAGGCAGAAGATTAGAAAAAAAGACACCACACTGCTCTCAAAGGCGGAGAGGCCAGAAAATGTAACTTGTACATATCAATCTCTGAAAAGGAGACCAAGGCTCTTACTCTTTCAACAATTACTGAGCACCTGAATATATGACGCTCTGGGGGAGGCAGAGCAGTGACCAGAAGGCTGGGCGTTTGGGCGGATGAGGGAAAAGTTAACCAAGGAAACCCAGGCATGGAAATGCAGGTGAGAGCGTGGTAGTGGCCTTACATATGAGGAAGTCAAGGCACAGAGAATCTAATAAGTATCTTGCCCAAAGTCACACAGGTAGCAGGTGGCAGACCCAGGACTTGAACCCTGGCAGTGCTGGCTGAAGCCGGAGTTTTTAACTGTGACACCACACAGCCTCTCCAGAAAAAGTGGCTATCAATGAATTAGAGCTGGTGGCCTGTGCTGAAAGACACGGCAAACAGTAGCTGGTTACCCTGCTGAGTCTGGAACGGTTTCCCACCCATACTAACAACCACTTGAGACAGAGATCTTGAGACTCAGTTTTGTATTAATAAGACTAGATCACACAACAGAAAAATTATCTGTGAGGCAATAAATAGATTCTCCAGCACTTTAAAACCAATTCCTGTTGACAGCTTCGGCACCTTGGAAATTATATTCATTCTTTCAGGAGAGCAGGGTAATAATTAGTAATATACTGCGTATGGCCAAGGGAACTGGTGGACATGGGGAAAATTTGACTCAATAAACAGAGTTTGAGGGTAAAGAGAATTACGAGAGTGATTTTCTCAGATAATCAGTGCAGTGTATTCCTAACAGTGGCCAGAGTTTTTATTTTTTATTTTTTTAATTTTATTTATTTTTTCCCCCAAAGCCCCAGTAGATAGTTGTATGTCATAGCTGCACATCCTTCTAGTTGCTGTATGTGGGACGTGGCCTCAGCATGGCTGGAGAAGCGGTGCGTCAGTGTGCGCCCGGGATCCGAACCCGGGCCGCCAGCAGCGGAGCGTGCGCACTTAACCGCTAAGCCATGGGGCCGGCCCAAGGCCAGAGTTTTTAAAAGGAAAGTGGAAATACTGCAGAGTGGAGTAAAACCACATAAATAATTGTAAAACCTGGAACAAAGGGCTCATAAAGAAGGGGCTTAGGATGTATTAGGCTCAAAAATAAGAGCCTGGGGTTTGACTTAATGATTTTCAAGAAAATGAAAGCATGCTACTGTTTTCTGTTTTCTTTGACTGCAGAAGATGAAGAATTTAATTTAAATTGTGGTGTAGAT